TTTAAAACATGTATATAACAATCATGTTGGTAATGACTTTTCGTTTAACCAATTTAGAAATCTCTGTCATCAATGTTGGGATAAAACTAAATATGGATTTTTTGTAATAGACAAAGAAAGGTCAAAGAATAATGGCAAATATAGATTTATGTTTGATCAATTTTATAATGACCAAGAGCAAGGGTGTTGATGCCATCTTCTAGAATAAACCTCTTGTCATCGTCAAACGATAGTACTTTCTTATTCATGGTCAATGTTTGAAGATGATGGTTTGTAGATTTAATTCTTGTCACATTCTCATAGTAATCTTGCCCAGTTGCAAGACAGTTCAAATAATGTTGATGTCTAAGGAGATGTTTAACTGTAGCAACATCAGCACCTTTAGCTTTTTTGACCTCTAAAGCTTGCTTGTCTTCTTCATATAACCATTTTAAAGGAATGTAAGAATATAACTTTGGTCTTAAACCACAATATTCATACATAATATGACCATCTAATTCGTCTTTAAACTTGCCTGTGACTTTTTTATTTTTATCAGAGTATAAGAAATGATCTTTACTATATCCAGAGGTATCAAAATAGTGTAAGTCACATTCTATTTCCTTGTAAAAGTCCTCTGTAACTATAGCATACATTAAAGAATCTGTATCAGTCATTAGAAATCTTTTATTCTTAAATTTTGACATATAATTATAGTGGAAATCATACATTATTACTTTACTAATATCTAAAATGGCCATTCCCAAATATATTGGTTTATTAAACTTTACAACTAATTTATTTAAATGTATAGCATGTAAATTGTTATCAAACTTTTTGCTACAATCAAACCTTGGATTAGTGACATATTTTGTTAATAGTGACTCATCCCTGAGATATATATCACGAAACTTTTGTTGATTCATAATTGTTCGACCAAAGAGACTATTATTTAACAATTTGTAAAAGTCTTTTTCGAAATCATTTTTAGCATATTTTCGTTTTTCAATATTAAAATTAATAAAGGGCGCAAGCCATTTTGATTGTCTAAATTTTAAAATTCTGTGGTATTTTGTAACAATTAAACCCAATTCCTCATATTTTTGTAATGCTTTGTAATGTAAAATATATTTAGTTTTGTCATTTAAATTAGGTATTAATTTGCCATTCATTTTCTCTGGTGCTAATGGATAGTCATTATGTAAAACATGTAAGCTTTTATCATATTTTAAATCAACTTCTAAAATGTATCCAAACTCATTATTTTGGTTATTTTTGTATATTTTGTAGTCTATCTCATTGGTCCAACGAAATCCATCCATGGGGAGTGGCTCACACATTGCTGTGGAGTATAGCGAGTTACAATCTAAATATATTAAATACACACTCTCTTGATTGGGATCATAGTGTTCGCTCATATATCTATTATTGGCTTTAGCGTAACGTGTGGAAATCATACTGACTCCTCCTCTAATCGCACTTTCTATGAACAAATGCATGTCAATATCTTGGAATAATTGTAATTTTATACCAGTCATTCTAAGACAGGCCTCCCATGTTAGTCCAGGGAGTGAATACATATGTACGGGATCAAGTTTGTAATCTTTTAAACACAGGTCTCTAAATGTCTCAAAGACATCAGCCAATAGTAATACGTCTGTTTTAAGATATAAATCATGATATTCTTGAAAATTATTTATATTAAATTGAGTCCAGACATTTTTAGCATGTTCATATTCAATGGGAGAGATATGTTCTTTAGTTAGAGTACTGTAAAATGCTTCTATAGGAGGGAGATACTCTGCAAACTTATCTGGTCCCGTCATATATTCATAGGGAAATACACCTTTACGTTGTAGTAGTGGATCGTCTATGAATCTAAATGTATTTAAATTGGAAGCTAATTTGTATAATGGAAGGGACAGAAAGTTGTATGAATCTAAAAATACTAAATCATCAATAGAGAATGATATATATTTTTCCATATCTTTAGCTATGCAATTTAATTTACGATTAAAATTTCCCAAGTGTTGCATTATTAAATGGCCATCATAATTTTTCAAGTTATGGAAGAATACTGGTATTTTCTTTGTTACTTTATAGTTTAAATTACAATCATTATGGGCAGCTCCACGGTATTGGCCATTTGAATGACAATGATCTCTCACCCTATCAAAATATAAGGGCTTTTCGCAAATGTGACAGTGTGTTGAGTTTTGAAAAGATGCCTCTTGTTCTGGAGTCATTACAAGGGGAATATATATCGCCATTTGACTTTTAATGAAGTCATAAGTCTCAAACAACCTTTTGAAAAACACATCCATAACATTTTCGCCACTATATAACTCTTCAGAAATAATCTTAGACTCTTTCACTACTACGAATGCAAATCCAGATGGAGTATGGTTGTTTGAGTTTATAAAACATTCAAAATCTGCATAAATCACAAATGGGGCTTTAAGTTGATATTTAAAATTTTTAAATTGTAATGTATCTTGTTTAGACATTTCAACTCGTTGGGCATCAAAGTTTTTACAATATGTTATATGACGCTCCAATATATCATTAGTGTAAAAATGTTGTAAACACAACTTGCAAAAATACTTTGTATTGTTATCTTTTGTAGACCGCAGCATTAACCTATTAAAATCACGAATTAAACAGTAATGTGATTTACGACCTTCTTGTAATAATAATAAATCTACGTGAGTATTACTATTCAGTTTGATTGTTCTTAATGGATATATACATTTATCATCTTCAACTCCAAATACATTAACACTTATATTATTTTGTCTTTCAAATTTATGTATATCGGATATTTTCACAGGATACTTTATGTTTGTCATATTTAACTGTGTTTCATAGGGTGTATAGCTGGAGACTCTATTAGCATTTTCATTAGAGTTCCTTGGATATAAAGCTGCTAATATCGACCAAAGGAAGCATTTATTGTCTGAATTTTGTATATTTAAAACTGCATGTTTCGATTTAATACTCTCTGGTGTAGGAATGTATGACCTTGGAGTTAGGGGCTTATACTTGTAAACATGTAACTGCCAATATTTAGTATGGTCATAAATCCATCCACTGCCTTGGGCTTGATATTTATGAATCGACGTGTCAATCTTTAAAAGTGCATTTTCTATTTGAGACTTTAAATCTCTCTTCTCAATGGTTAGGATGGCAAGGCTTCTAAAATCTGCAATACATTCTTTTTCATTAATTAATTTTCCATTTTGATCTATTGTATATTTAATAAATTTGATTCTCCTTATTAAAGTCCATTTTATTGGCAGAGGACAAGACTGAAGAGTATTTTTAAGTTTAGTTTTAATCGATTCACCAACAAATTTAATCATTGTATATGGACATTTGTTGCAAGAAATTACATGTCTTTTAAAATGACCAACAACATTTCTTTTACAGAAACTACAAGTCTTGTGAGTTTGTAATATATGAGATTTTAGAGCTATGTTACTATCACAGATTAAATTACAAACTTTACACAGTTTTACCTTCATTTGATGTTTTAAGTTGTAGTGGCGAATCAGGTTACTTTTGGTGGAGAATGACACGGAGCAATGTTGACATGTAGTCTTCATTTTATATATGTAACTAAAAACCTAGGTTGGCATCTTCTATATAGTAGAAATTACATTTTGAGAATTTGCAATTAATGAGAAATAATAATTAAAATCAGAATTCTAAATTTAAATATTCAAAACAATTTTATACAATAAAAATTGACAATTGCAATTTTCAAAATCAAAACTAAATCTTAAAAGTTAAATTTGTAAATAAAAAATACTTTATAGCAATTCAGAATGCTGAGTCTACATTTATACAGTGTGTGCTATAGAGAAAACTACCTATGTTACCTCAGTGAGTGAAATTCAGATAAGTGTATAAAAATCAGGACTTGTTATATTTTAACATAGTGGAAGTTATACAAAAATGACAAAGTGTCATTAGAGAAAAATAATGTAAATTTTAAAGAAAAATCCTGTAAAATGTTTTCTAAGTTCAAAAATAAGGACTTTAATGTTTAAGTTTCACTACCATAGTAACTGTTGAGAAATACTCTTTAGTATAAATTACATTTTGACAATTTCAATTAATGAGAAATAATAGTTTAAATCAGAATTCTAAATTTAAATATTCAAAACAATTTTATACAATAACATTTGACAATTGCAATTTTCAAAATCAAAACTAAATTTTAAAAGTTAAATTTGTTAAATAAAAGAATACTTTTTAGCAATTCAGAATGCTGAGTGGAGTGACATGGAGCAGTGTTCCTGTAGTCTTCATTTTATATAAAATGTAACTAAAAACTAGGTTGGCATCTTCTATATAGTTGAAATTACATTTTAACAATTTCAATTAGTGAGAGATAATAATTTAAATCAGAATTTTAAATGTTAAAATTCAAAACAATTTTATACAATAAGATTTTATAATTGCAATTTTCAAAATCAAATATGAAATCAAAAATTAAATTTGTTAAATAAAAAAATACTTTTTAGCAATTCAGAATGCTGAGTCTACATTTATACAGTGTGTGTTATAGAGAAAACTACCTATGTTACCTCAGTGAGTGAAATTCAGCTAAGTGTATAAAAATCAGGACTTGTTAAATTTTAACATAGTGGAAGTTATACAAAAATGACCAAGTGTCATTAGAGAAAAATAAATGTAAGTTTTAAAGAAAAATCCTGTAAAATTGTTCTAAGTTCAAAAATTAGGACTTTAATGTTTAAGTTTCACTGTCACAAGTCTTTTGAGAAATACTCTAAGTTTCAAATAATAAATACACAGACAGGCAGTCACCTAACTGTCATTTCCGCACGACCAAGCGAGGAAGCGTCCATACCACTGCAACTAATTATGCAGACAGCTCACTCCCAGACATTATATTCGCTACCGATACAGGGGCGTGGTGGCGTAGGATGTCTAGACAGGTCCTTGGCGCTGACGCCTTCCACTAGCCCAGCCCCGCATGTGCAAAAAAAACTTACCAGAGGAGGAGGAGCTAGAGACCAAGATGGCTGCGCTGCGACGGAAGGGGACTGACTGAAGGAACCGGTTTTCCCCGCCTTTTTATATAATTCCCAGCGAGTGAATTCTTTACAATTCATAAAATAATTTTTAACAATTGCAGTGTATTTGTAAAATTTATTTTAACAATTTCTGGAGAAAATTAAAATATGAAAGTACAAATTTAATTTGACACCTGTCACCTGTCATCACATCAATCAGGTCAATGTGTCTGGCGCCAGGGACCTGTCTAGACATGTGTCGCCACTCTCTCCCGCGCCGCGTTCTCTCTCTCTCTCTTTCAATACCCCCCCTCTCGACATTGAATAGAATGTCTGGGAGTGAGCTGTCTGCATAATTAGTTGCAGTGGTATGGACGCTTCCTCGCTTGGTCGTGTGGGGTTCACCGAACCTTGGCGGAGGTACCCGAAGTAGCCTTGATGTGTTGTTAGTGTCGCTGTTGAAAGTGAGAAGACCGGTCGCACTCAAGGCCAGCAGCATGCCCGAGTTTACGCAGTAGTTATATATCAATGGTTTACGCACAAACCTCGCACTGTCAAGTTGATGATTTTGAGAATATACATGTGAATGCATGTGGATTTGAAATAGTAATAAAGTTATACAATGGTATTGAACATTAATATAGGCTTGTATATGTATAGGTCGAGAGCAGGATTTTTGCAATTAGTGGCCAAAAAATGATCCCCATAAGAATAACATGGGGAAAACGTGCCTAAAGTGATGGCTCTTTCTGGGTTCACCACTACTAACCAGAGAATAAACCTGTAAAGGGTTTGTCATGAGTTCTTCAACCTAATATCTTCAATTAATAAAAATATATTAATCGTAAGATAAATCTGAGAATTTACACAATAGTATTTATTCAAAAATAGCCTGCCAATAAGTTATTTTACAGCTATAGACAGATAGATATACACAAACATATAATATGTTGTTATTTATATAATTACTGTTGTGAACTTTATTGAATAGGTTTTCACTTCATTGAATTTTGATTTTTCCTTTTGATCTGACTGTTATATTATTTCTAAACTACGGTGTTTTGTTTTACCACATGTTAAATATTTTGTATTGAATTATTTTTTTTTTTTTACAGCATTTATTTCTGGTTCAATGTAGACATTATACACAGAAGTGTTAACAAAATTAAAAAGAAATTAACTATAATAACATCGTGGGTTTGCCCAAACCTGGTACACCCTGTAACATAATTAATTTAGAGAATAATTTAATCGTCTTTAGGCTTCATTCATCCAATAGATCTTGAGGGAGCCTTCGACGTAGCCTCCTGTTCTCAGTTGCTTCACCAAGATGAAAAGTTAATGCACCAGGAACATCGTTTAAAGATTTTAGAAATTTTGAGGTGGTTTTTGAATTAATTTAAGGTCCAGTTAAGACTTTGGAATAAATAATCGAACAGCTAGATCACACTCTGGTTGCTGTTCAGACTGTGTTAGGATGGACAGTAATGGGTAAATATGTGGAAAAAGTAACCAGTCACTTATTAGCATTAGTTGCTTTGCTAAAATTGACATTTCAGATCTACGGCGTTTAGATGTTTTGGGCATTTCTGATCCATCGGGGTAGTAAAACAAAGGAGGCGAATGCATCAGATGTCATGGAGCATTTTAACATAACTATTGTAGTAAATAGTAAAAATAGGTACAAGGTGACTCTTCCATTGATTGAAGGCCATCCGGTGCTTACGAACAACAAAGTTAGAGCCGAGAAGCGACTAAATGCAGTGACCAAGAAGTTGATTAAGTTAGAAAAAGTTCAATGAGTATGATCAGGTATTTTCAGAGTGGTTGAATTCAAACATTATTGAAAGGGTTGTTGAGTCCTCTGTAACTGATAGACCTGCACACTACTTACTCAGCTTGTGAAAAGAAGTGTATGAAAGAAAATAACCACTTGAAGAGGAAGAAGAAGGTATAGTTGAAAACAAAGTCTTTGATTTCGCTAAGAAGAAAGCCAGATGTGGAAGAGAAGTAAAAGTGCCCCAGCGATTTTACTGATTTAAAATTGCACATGATTGTTTAGCAATTTTAAATGGGGGGGGGGAGGATGTTGTGAACTTTATTGAATATGTTTTCACTTCATTGATTTTCCTTTTGATCTGACTGTTATATTTTTTCTAAACTACTGTGTTTTGTTTTACCACATGTTAAATATTTTGTATTGAATTAATTTAATTGTTTAAAAGGTTCAGTTAAGACGAAAATGGAATAAAATAAAGAAGCCTACTAATCTGTTTGTGAAATAATTATTTTATAATTTCTGGTAATTATTTCAAGATTCAAAACATTTTGGCGACCGTGACAGGACCTTTTCTTTAATTAAGACATCTGGGTTATTTAATAGATTATAACAATATGGAAAGCCTAGAAATTATGAAAAAGAAAAGATCGCAGATCAGAAGAGGCTATTCACCAAAGTTTATTATGAACTGGAAGAAGCATTTAATAATGAAGACCTGTCGATGAACGATATAGAAACTCAAATAAAAGTAAACTTTTCTCAAATTGAAGATAAAATAACAGCATTAATGGCAATGGATGGAAAAATCTCTGATGAAATGCATAAGATGCTTCTGATGCTGATCTGGACAATGAACTGGACACACAAGAAGAATACAAGAAGAAAACAATTACGATTCCTTATTATTAGATGACATCAAAAATCATTCTTTGAACAACTTATTTAATCTTTTCAGTTTAACGTTTATTCCAAACAATCGCTAAAAATCTATTTGCCATTTTAATTTGGTTTACCAGATTCGGACTCGCTACAGGGCTAGCAGCATTGACTTTATATCTAGGCCTACGTGTAGATATAAAGTCACAAGTCAATGCCAGCAGACAGCTTGACAGCTAACCGCTAAGAGCGCTACCCATGGTGAAGGTTTGAATTAAGTAATTACGTCATCGTTCCTCCCCCTCTCCCCACCGCGACATTTGCTCCGGTGAGCCTACTCGTTGCTCTGAGTATCTAGACGCTAGTTGACGTTGCTCGACCCCGACGTTGAGATTTAATGACTTTCCAGTTCCATTCCTTCTTACTTTATCCCCCTATACCATAGTATATTTATGGAGAAAGTATTTTTCTCGTCAACATGTTTGAGTTTTGTGTGGATATATCCGTTTTGGGCCCCCCTAGACCTAAAAAAGTGGTTGTTGAAGTGATGTTCACAGTTCAAAATTCTTTATTTTCTGGATAAGATGTAAATACAAATACTCCCATGAACCACGCAGGGTTCGTACGTAAAAAAGTACATTTTGTTTAGTACAGAATAGCTGTCTGGCAGCCTTAATCATCATAATATGTATTGTTTCAGGTTAATATTATGTCATATCACTTTTTTCACTTTTAACAATCTATAACATTTCTTTCTTTTTTTACAACCATTTATTTATTTATACGGTAAACATCATTTTTACAGTCAATAATATTATACAGTCAATAAATATAAAACATGCACAGTTATCCAAAAATACGTTTAAATAGGTACATTCATAATTGTAATAATAATAATTCATAATTATTGATGTCTGTGTGTGTGTGTATGGAAGTGTACAGAGCTAGAGACTATACCTGTGGTCCGATTTTAATTAAATTTGGTGTGTAGGTTCTAATCCATTGTAAATCCAGGCGTTTTATTTTTTTTATTTTTTTTTAAAGGGGATGTTCCCATAAAACCCCATAAACCCATATTGTGGCTGGGTAACTGTGTGTTTATAGTGCTCGCCTAGTAATCAAAAAGTCGCCGGTTCGATCCTTAGAAAAGCCAGTAGCTTTTTGGTATTTACTCCAGGGCCGGAGGTACAGGAAAGCCTTCGATAATTTCAGCTGTCAGATCTCTTGAGGGAACACCATTACCGCAACGATACGGAATTCAGTCATCGGCCTCGGTGGTGTAATGCATATCATGATGTAATGGATAGCGTGTCGGGCTGACAATTCGAAGTTGCCGGGTTCGAATCCCGCTGGCAGCACTAACTTTTTGTCAACAATTTTTTTTCATATCAGCAAGTTTGGTTGGTTTGGTTAGGTTATGACAGTTTAATTTAATAATTGAAAATTTTTAAGATTCATTTTATAATTTTTCTTAATTTATAATTAACTAGGCCTGATGTAAAAATTGAATCAATGAAGTAAAAATTACGCGCTGTGCTCTCTACTACAACGCTGTTGACGGAGGAATTTTGAACTAAACTATGATGTGATCGTTGCCTCATTTATACCTCCCTTAAGTCAGACCAGACTTAGTGTGGCCTTGGTCAGACCCTAGCTTTTTGATGGTTCGAAACTGCGCCCAGCTGTTCCTGATCATTGTGCTTAAATAAATGATCCTGGCTAATGAAACCACTGATCTTAGTCAGTAACAAAAGCTACACAGATCATCCTGGATCATCTCACAACATATTCTACGCTCATCCTTCACTCGTTTTTGGGTTCAATTACGGACCAAGGTGGCGTACCCATCTCAATGATTGATAATTGATTAATATGATATTATTTATTTATTTCCAACGGACATTTCCATTTTACAGCCATAAAAATCAAAACATTACAACTCAGGATGGCTTAATTAATTGATAATTTTGTGCTTATGGACTAGAAATAATAAATCAACAATATAATAATGATCTAATAATAACAAAACAACAATAACAATGACAAACCTACCAGCCAGACAAGAACAAAAACCGTCAAAATAACCAAAGGAATACTAATAAATAAATAATTTGAAACAACAGCAACAAACCCACAAGCTAACAACCAATAACAACTGAGAAAAATAAATAATAAAATAATATAGTAGTTGGATAGTTTTGAAATACAAAAAACAAAGTTTTGTTTCAAATTTCATTTATTTTATGAAAGTCAATAACCTGAGTTGGGAGTAGAAAGGAATTTTGCTTAATATTAATGGGGGGGGGGGGGGTATGAGTGAATTAACGCTTTAAGTTTGTAAACAACTTATGAGTTAATATGAAATATTTAATAAATTTGGTAAAAATTTACGAACATAACAGAGATCAAGCGTCATAGGCTTTGCAAAATCACATCTAGGGCTAAGTTACCGAATATTTATAGTAGCTTATTGTTACCCTAAAACTAAAAGTGGAGATGGAGTGGATGGTTATCTAGATTACAAATAGATGAGCTCTTCCAAAATAGACAATGGAAAGACAAATATAAAGAGACATATAAGAATGAAGAAAGTTATAGAAAAGAGCTACAAACAGAAGTTGAGGCATTAACCCAGGAGTTTTCCGAACTCTTTCGTGATGAGCTAGGAACGATATCTGACTCAAGTGGAACACATTTTAAATAAGCAACCAATTTTGGCGATTTGACAATTTTACATTTGCAAAGGCAGACGACAACTACGAGTACGAACGATACTGTCAACTGTCACAGACAGTGCAGATGATTTGATCTGAAGTAATCTTGGAAAGCTGGAATATGGGAAACCTGCCATCACTATGACGTCACGGAGCGTCCCGTGAGCCTTGCGGGAACTCAACCCCCAAACGAACCAGTATTTTATTATGTATTTTATTAAATAATTCGAAAAAGCGCCGATGAAATGGATGAAAACAGGTGTGCTATTCCCACATATTCTGACGTCACTCGGATTGCAAACAAAAGATCATCTGATTGTAACTGTCAAATTAGTATGTATTTGTTTTTATTTGAATGTTATTGTTTTTATAATAATAAAAACAATAACAACCAAATCAAAACAAATACATATACTAATTTGACAGTTACAATCAGGTAATCTTTTGTTTGCAATCCGAGTGACGTCAGAATATGTGGGAATAGCACACCTATGTTTTTTCCTTCCACCATGGATGAAAACCGCTTCACGAAGGTGGTGGACGGAATGGGCATACGGGAGGGACGATGGCTAAAGGTGTGGTGACGTCATATCTATAGTGGCTAATGTGACTAACCAACACAAGTTACTAACTAACTAACATACAACTAAGGGAGTATGTTTTATCTATGCTAATGTCTTCTCTTGAAGCAACACGATTACTATAACGAGACGATGTGATTCCAGCGGCATTCGTGTGTAAGTTGATAGCGCATTGGACGAGAGTTCAGGAGGTCTCGAGTTCGAAACCCGTCGGGGACACTAATTTTTTGTCAAAGATTTTGCTTTATTTGATTTTTATCTTATATCTTTTTTATATTATCAGCAAGTTTGGTTGGTTAGGTTAGGATATGACAGTTTAATTTTATAATTAAAAAGTTAATTTTTTAACTAAAAATTATAAAATTAACTTAATTTAAAATTTAACTTAGCGGTTCTAGCGGCGAACGCTGACACTATGTTAGCCATCGTCCCTCCCGTGTGCGCCACCGGGTGACGGACGACCGGACACCATTTCACGACGGCGAAAAAGTCGGCGAAATGATCATAACAAAACAAAACAAATGTTTAAAGGTTATGTTATGCTTTCTCAAGCTCAAGTTGTCAGGATTAAGGTTGCTTGCTTACAATATCATTTTGTTAGGGTTGATTATCGACAATAGACATGATTCAAATAAGAAAAACATTTGCTTTCATTATTTGCTCACGCTCTAAATTAATTACTTGCAACTCATTTCTCAATAATGTAAGTGAAGACTTCTACTTGATAAAACATTATAGTAACAAAAGAGTGAAATCCAGATCTAAGAAAACAAGCACAGCACCAGTGTCCACCTTATTTGTACCGGTTAACGTTAAACCGAATTCAGATGAAATTAATATAGGAGCTGAATTAACTGGTAAATTAGACAAAAGCCAACTATTAAAAATCTTAAGTTCATTTTATCAAAAGCAGGAGATTAAAATACTTGCAATGGAAAATGGGATTGACAGTAAGTTATTGCTACTCTAAGTTACACTACAGGATAGTCTAGTTATACAGCTAGGCCTAATCTAGAAATAGGTACTTTCTTTTTTTAAGCGGGTACAGTTTCTTAACTGGGCTATGCTAAATCGATTGAAACTATCGACTCGATTAGTAAACCTTCATGCGATTTTTTCACCATCAGCAAGTTTGGTTGGTTAGGTTAGGTTATGATAGTTTAATTTGATAGTAAATATATTTAAAAATATCGATTATTAACCCGGATACAGTTTCTTAGCTAATATCGATTGAAACTATCGAATTGAAAATATTGATTAATAGGCCTAATCGATATTTTTAAATATATTTATTATCAAATTAAACTATCATGACCTAAGTTAACCTAACCAACCAAACTTGCTGATGGTGAAAAAATCGCATGAAGGTTTACTAATCAAATTGATAGTTTCAATCGATTTAGCATAGCCCATTTAAGAAACTGTACCCATTAACCCTCCAAGTGTCTCTAGTTTTGGTCTTAATGTTCGCCCATTTATTCCGCAATCACAGGGTTTTATTAATATGTATCTTAGAAACTTAAAAACAATGTAAAGCATACTGTTTTATATATCATTTTGTTTGGAAAATGATGGGCTTCAATGTAACATATAAAACATCACAAAAAAAAGTTCAACAATTTTTGTGGGGTTAGCCTAACATTTCTAAAAAATTATTAAAAAAATGAAAAAAAAAATTATGTTTGCGCTCAATAAATTGTTATAATTTATAGGTCTACAAATATTTTAAAATAGCCACTTTGTTCAGAATTGTATGAGGATTCCAAAAATATAATAATATAAGGAAGTAGGTCTGCAAATAAATGAGTTATGGACAAAAAACAGATTTCGGTACATAGCGTTTAGCTAAGAATGCATAGCCTAACCATAGCTAGGAATCTGGCTGATAATTTACATCAATATCACTAACTACTTCTTCAGGATCATCAACCAGCCCTTCAAAATCACTTAAAACTTCTTATAATGCAACACGTATATCACTACTTTTGATTTTTCACACTAAAACAATGATAAACGTAATAAAACACATCGGTGCGAGGTTAACCAAACTGTTTACAAATAGCTGTCTGCTACAATATTTTTGGAACTAAAATGAAAAGCGTATAGAAACAGACATCAGGAGAAAGCTCTGAATCTGCTGAAAAAAACGATAGGCTACCTAACTCGATCCAGTTCAATCCGATTCAGTCAGTCCCAGAGCCGTCGCCGTAAACAGTGTTTGTGAGTCGCAAAAGCGACACAACACTACAGCGGATTTGTTATGAGTCGCTTTTACGACACATAACACTCGGAGGGTTAATCAATATTTTCAATTAGTTTTAATCGATATTAGCATAGGCCTAGCCCAGTTAAGAAATTGTACCCTTTTAAGCTAAAATTACTGCCACTAGGGCTGTGAATCAATAAGTTTTAAGTTAACCAGTACTTTCCAGCATCAAGCCAAATCGACAGTATCATCATCGACTGCTTCGTAAGTTAATGGTCACGAATTTTAACTTATTGGCCGAGTGAGGTGTCTTGATAGCCACAGCAACTTAAGTTAGTGGAGGATTAGCCGTTATCCTGATCCATGTTGTCAAGGTGATAAGTCTAAGTTAGCTTCCAACTTCCTGCCCTCCCTGCAGACAAAGCAAAGCAAATTTCCATTTTCCTGATTTGATTTTTAATCAAATATCATGGTACATGCTAGATTTAATTTTCAACTAAGTTTTAGTCGCTTACTAAGTCATACCAGGGCTTTGCAACGGGAAGGGGCTGTAGAAGAAAATAATTAAGTCAGTTTGGCAATTATTTAAGTTAATATGTCTACACTTACATCTTACATAGGTCCTCTTCATCGCAGTCGTAGAGACTGGAGAATCGTCATTTAAGTTCCTTCCTTCTCTTCTTATAATAGCCCTATGTGGTAGTTATGATCTTCATAGAACTCTTTGATGGTGTAGTATGGTCTTTGAAGGAGGTAGTTTTTTAGTGCAGCAGTGAATTTTTTTGTGTTGTTTATTGTTTTGAGTTGTTGTGGAAGTAGGTTGTAGAGCTTTGCTCCCATTGCAGTGGGAGTTTTGTTGGTTTTGTTTAATCTGTTTTGTTGGGTGTTATAGTTCGATTTTGATCTGGTGTTGTGGTTGTGGCATGTTTGTCTGGTTTCAGGCGGATTTTGTTTTATGAAATTGATGGTGTCAAATATGTATTGAGAGGTTAGGGTTAGGATTTGGTGTTTTATGAAAAGGGGCTTGCAGTGTTCGAGGTAGTGGGATTGGTCTATGATTCTGGCTGCTTTCTTTTGAATGATTTGTATTTCTTTTAATAGGCTTTCGCTGGCACTTCCCCATGCAATTAAGCCGAATTTCAGGTGTGAAGAGAAGATTCCATGGTAAGCCATCTTAGTAGTTTCTTCGTTGGTGATTTCCCTGATTCTTCTGAGGGCATAGATAGCTGATGAGAGTTTTCGCTGGAGCCTTTCCAAGTGGGGGTGCCAGTTTAGTTGCTGGTCAAGAATGACGCCAAGGAATCTGGTTGTGGGGTTGGCATTTGTTGTGTCTTCTTGAGTTAGAGGTTTGTTTGTTGGGGTGAATTTCAGGCAGACAGTTTTAGATTCATTGATTCGGAGATTTAGGCTATTGCAGATTTTTTTTGCTGTGTCTATTGTTTTTTCTGTTAGATTAGGTGTTGGTATGCCCGGGACTATAATGGTCGTGTCGTCAGCAAACATTATACATGTATTGTCTGCTGGTAGGAGGGTGGGGAAGGTGTCTATGTAGATCAGAAAGAGTAGGGGTCCTAGTACTGAGCCTTGAGGTATGCCTTGAGTGATGGTTTGCAGTTTTGATCTGGATTTGGTAATGAAGTTTCCACTTTGGTGTTCAATTTCAATGAGTTGTTGTCTATTGTAGAGGTAGCTTTTTATCCAGTCTAGAGCTTTGTTTTTGATGTTTAGGGCTGATATTTTTTGGAGAAGTAGTTTATGGTCTAGGCTGTCAAACGCTTTCTGGAGATCCAGAAATACGCCGTTTGCTGTTTTTTTATCCTCCCAGATATTGGTTATAGTGTTGCAGAGTTGAGCCAGAGCGGTATTTATGGATTTCTTTTCTCTGAATCCGTGCTGGTTGTCGCTTAGGAGGTGGTTGTTTTCCAGGAAAGTTATTATTTGGGAGTTGATTATTTTTTCTAGATATTTGGATAGGGCCGGTAGTATTGAAATTGGTCTATAGTTTTCGGTTAGGGTGGTATCTCCTTTCTTGAATTTGGGGTAGACCAGAGCTTGTTTCATGGCTTGTGGAACTGTGGCTTGTATTATGGAAGTGTTGATAATATTTGTCAAAGGAGGGATCAGTTCATTCTTGCAGTGTTTTAGGATTTTGTTTGGGATTTCGTCCAGTCCGCACGAAGATTTTGGAGGAAGGATTTTGAAGAGCTTATCGAGTTCATGTTCGGTGATTGTTTTGAAGGCAGATAGATGTGGTTTCTGTGTCATATCAAGTGGGGTTGGATCAGGTGCTTTGCTGAGGTTTGGGTTTTGTAGTGCGTGGTTACCGATGTTGATAAAATAGTTGTTGAAAGTGTTGCAGATCGATGTTGGGTTGGTTATTTGGTGTCCATCTGAGTTGAGGGTGATATTATTCACTTCATTGTCCGTATTTTTCCTTTCTTTATTTATGATGTTCCATATCGTCTTATTTCTATTGGGGGCATTGTTTATTATGCTCATTGTATGTTCAGACTTCTTCTTTTTTACATCTAAGTCGTATGCTCTTTTGAAGTTACTGTAGATTTTTTTGTCTTCCTCACTGCCACTGAGCAGATATTTGTCATGGGCGGTGTCAAGTAGTTTTTTAAGTTTGGCTGTGGTTTCATCCCAGAAGGTATAATTGGTTTTTTTCCTTAAGTTTATGTAGATCTTCGGCATAGTATTATTTATTTCATATGTTAGGATATTTACAAGGGCATTGTATTTAGCGTCTACTGATTGAGCAGTGTAGATTTCATTCCAGTCACATTGGCTGAGATTTATTTTGAGCTGGTCCAGTTTGGTTTTTGTGATAGGCCTGACTTGTTTCTTGATGGGTTGGTTTCTTAGGTTGTGGCGGTTTGTTATGGTGCAGCTGATTCCCAGATGGTCTGAGAAGGACATTTTGTGGGTTTTTAGGGCGGTGTTGTGGAGTCCAAGATTTGTAAGGCAGATGTCAATACTGCTGACCGAGGTGGGGGTGATTCTGGTGGCCAAGATGTTTCCGATCTCTAGGTTGTGTTGGTCTGCAAAAGCTATTAATTTCAATGTGTCCGGTTCGTGTGGGCGCAGGATATTTACATTTATGTCTCCCAAAAATATAATATCCTTATTTCTTTTGGAGTACATTTCCAGAAAGGGATCTAGGTGTTTGGTGAGTTCTTCGATGGGTTTAGAGGGGGATCTATAGGCTCCAATGACCGTTAGTTGTTGTTTAGGCAGGTGTATGGCAACCAGTTCTGAGGCAAGTTCCTCGCAATGTGGCTTGGTATCGATTTCTGAGTAGGAGTTGTTACTTGATTTTTTTGAGAAGATGGCTATCCCTCCCCATTTATGCAATATCCTTGAGAAACTCGTAGTTAGGGAGTAGTCAGGTAGATTAATTTGCTTTATGTGTTCTTCTGTTAGGCCGTGTTCGGATATAATGATAATGTCTGGGTCTATTGAGCTGATTTCTGATTCTAATTTACTTAGTTTACTGTGGAGCCCTCGTTGAATGTTGAGGTGAAAGATTTTTATTTTTTTGGAGTGATTTTTTTGGTGGATGCTGTTTCTTGGATGGTTTTGGGGTTTTTGGGGTGGCGGGTTTAGGTTTAGCTTGGAGCTGGAGGGGGGGGAGTTTGTATGTTTTTTGAGGACAGGGTCGGTTTTAGGTTGCTGGTATTTGTTGTGGTTGATTGGGAATTGTTGGGTATTTGTTGGCCGGTGGAGGCTTCCTGGGTTTCTTCAGTTGGCTGAGGGATGTTGTTCTGGTGTTGAGGGCATGGGTGTTCACTGGTTTGTTTATGGCTAGGATGGGTGGTGAGATCGGCTTCTATGCTAGGCTGAGGTGGGTTGGTAACGAGAAGTTTGGCTTTTTCGATGATAATGTTAGAAAGAATAGTGGCGCCTTTACGGTTGGGGTGAATGTTGTCGGGTCCGTAGCAGTCTTCTTGGCATGCTGGGCTGGTGTCAATGAAATTCAATTTGAGCTCATTACACATGTAGTTTAGTGCTGCATTTGTTTCTTCAATATGTTTATCTCTTATGTCCCTTCGATACATTATGCCGTTTACAAACCATTTAGTGTGTGGTGATTTCTTTTTGGCGGCCTCTATTGTCAGCCATAACGGCCTCATAACATGGTTGGGCGTTTTTGAGTGTGCCATATTATTAGATCCAATATTTATAACTATTTGGTCAGGTAGTTTATCTTCTTCGCTTAGGTACTGACTCAGGTCTCTTATGATGGCTCCAGATCGGACTTTGGTTAAGATATCAATCTTGTGGTTCTCTTTTATAATGCTTGCTGCAGCTCTTAGTGTTGAGTCTCCGATCAGTAGTGTACTTTTTTTGGGTTGGTTTAGGTTTCTAGCATCTGGGTTGGGCACATTTATTTTAGGCCTATAGTTAGGCTTGTTTGTGGTTGGGTTGAGTTTGTTTGGTTTATGAATCTGGTTTTGTTGGCGGGTTTCCTGATTTGGGTTTGTGTGTCGGGCGCTCTCGGAGGGTTTGTCAGTAATCGGGTTTGTAGATACTTGGTTATTTTCAGGGCTTGAGGGAAGTTTAGAGGTATCTTTGACTAGGTCGTGGATGGTTTCCTCGAGTCTGGATATGACTTCCATTTTGCGGGCTATTATGTCAGATAGTTTTAGGTTTTCTTCATTTTTTGTGTCTAATTGGGTTTTTAGGGTGTCTATGTCTTCTAACAGAAGTTCCACAATCTTGTTTGTTTGGTCAGTTTTTGTATATGTTTGGCTTTGAGAAACTTCCAGCTGTGTCAGTGCTGGGTCTAGGCTTGCGTTATTATCAGGTGTATCTTTTTTAGTGGGTCTAGTCCTACTTGAACAGGTCTTACACATCCAATCAAAGAGATGATTGTTTAGGGAAAGCGCCCTATATTGCTTGTCGGTGACATTTACACACTTTATATGGTACCATGTTAGGCAATCACATTCGATTGCTTTGTCGTTTTCTTGAACTTCTATTTTACATATAGCACAGGGGTGGGTAGGGCCCTGATTGTTGGTTTGAGATGATCTTGTCATGGTTGTTAATTCGTTGTTTCAGAGGTTGGTAGGGTTAGGTTAGGTTTGAAGGAGGATTGATGGATGCTATGGTAGGTGATGGGTGAGCGTGGTGGATGCAAGGTGAGGTGCGATTTAATACTTGTGGTTGATAGGCAATGATATGTAGTATGTGTGGGGTGGGGTGAATGACATAGGATGTATGATTTGGTGGGCAGATGGGATGGTATGGGTTTACAAGATGTGAGGCAGGATGATGTGAAAGATGAGCAAGATGATACTGAATACAAAATATTACATATGCTATACAAGAATAATACACAATTAAATAGATAAGAGACAGTAAAAATTCAAAGAAGAGAGACAGTGGGTGTCTAGGCCTAGCTTGGGGGTCAGAGATTGGTAGGCTAGGTAGAATGTCACTTTGGTGGGGGAAGAGTTGCTTATGTGTTTGTATGTAGGTTTAATTGTGTGTTTCATGTGATTTTGGAAGTTTTTTGGTTAATTGGGTAGAAAACTGTAGATTCGTGTTCTGTAGAAATGGTTTGTGTATGGTCTAATGATGTATGTATGTGACGTGTGATTGGTTGGCTGAGCTTGATGAAGTTTTCCTAAGCTGTCCTCTGATTGGTCGAGGTCTTTTGCTTTCTGAGCTTGGCTTCTTGATTGAATCAAGATGGCGGATCACAGTTACATATTTAACTTTTAAATAGAAGTTAATGATGAATAAGTTCAGAAATCACAGAAAGCACTTTAAATTTTCAGAGTTTTGGTTTATTTGAGTTTGTAGAGTCTTGAGTAATACAAAATTTGCAGATATTTATTTAGAAATGCGAATAAAAGTTCTGAGTGAAGCTCCTATGGTTGAGAAAATGGCTTGGTCTTACCAATATGTTGCGATGTCTTTTTCGTGTCAATTAATGCCGGTATATTATAAAGTTGTGAGTTTTTCAGATAAAATGCACTTTTTAAATCACTTTGAGACTGTATTTATGGTTTAATTTGAAAAGGAAATGTAATAAACTGTTAAAAGCTGAGGAGCTGCACAGGAGACGACCTGTGCTCAGCCAACTTCTTCTTCCTCCTACACTTAACTTATATCATGTAATTTTTAGATGTCTACTTAACTTGCAGATTTTTTTATGCTGAATCCAAAAATGCAATCAGTTTTTGTTAGAGGGATTCCTAAGTGGCTGTAAAATGAAGGTTAAAATTACGACGACATATTTAATAGGCTAAGCTATGTCTACACTGGGATATGATGTAATTTTTAGATGTCTACTTAGCCTACAGTTTTTATTCACTCTGAATCCAAAAATGAAATCAGTTTTTGTCGTAGAGATTCCTAAGTGGCTGTAAAACAAAGGTTAAAATTACGAATCTATGGTTTATTTACTATAGCGGTACTGATGGTAATATTGCGTGGTCTGGACGGGTTTGTATGTGGGCTGAGGACTGAGTGAGGAGAGCAAACAGCTGTTTATATAGCCTACTCGACTTAACAATGAGGTATGAAATAAATTAGTTTTGAATCTAAATAATCTGCCCTTATTTAACCTAGGCATATGTGGGGAAGGTAGGTCGGGTTTTATGCGGATTCGTACTGTATTAAGTGTTTTAAAGTTAGGTTGGATTAGGAAGGTAAAGTTTAGGTTTTAATGAACAGACTTATTAATATACGTTACCTCCAGACTGTTTTTGCACAGTTGAAATTAATTGTGAAAACTGTTTTTGCACAATTACCGTTTTAGTTGGATCTCTGCTGTACATTTAAGAAACGGAACTCAAGTTAATTTGACTAGGTACTTTGTTGATATTTATTTTATTTTGTGTGTTTTCAAGCCAGTTGCATTCTTTACGTTTTGAAAGGGAACGGTCCAAATTATTTTTAGGACAATTCGTGCCTACAGTAAGTTTGGTAAGAATTGTTTGAGGCAGCCAAGTATGGTGTAGGCTATTTAAGTAGCGCAGATGCTTGCTTAAAAATACTATAACTACATGATTTAACAATCCAGGCAGCGCATGTCAGTGGAAAAGACCAATGTACACTATTTTGGTCATTACTGAAGGGAAAAGCCAAGGTTGGTCCTTGCAGATACGGTACTCACCAGGGAAGGGTTGGGCCATGAAAAGGCAGTGGTCAGCTAGGAGACGGCACGAATAGAGAGTTAAAATGATGTCTCTCTGAGGTTCAAACTTAGGCTTACTGTAATTCATGAGGAGTTTCAGTTTTCGTCTGCATGTGGCAGAGCTTGGTAGGAGAGAGGCCCTCCTTAAACATACTGTAGAGAGCTTCCAGGTGAAAGTTGACAGGATCTGTGGATTCTTTATCAGATGTGTTAAGTTAGTGTCTGCCAACAACATCATTTAGCCTACAATATTTTGAATTTTTTATATATTTTTTGAAAATTTATTAGGGGAGGAAAAATAATAATAAAAATACTTTAGTTATATGCTTATTTAACTCACCAAATATTTCATGGAGTTAGTTAAGCTAAAAGAGTAAAATGAGATTTCACGTGCTTTACATTGTAAAATTTGGGGCTGACTCCTAAATACCTCCATGTGTTGGGACAATGGACAAAATTGATACTTTATTGAAAAAACCGCAACACTGCTCAATTTAGTACATCATGCTCTTTGTACTTACCGCTTTGTTGTAGGAATTTTATATTTATAGATCTAACTACAATTTGGCCTACCCTTAAGTTGTGGATAATTTTTCAGGTTATTTGCAGCATCAAGTATATGTCAGTTTTAGAAAATACTGTTTAGAAGCTGAAACCCTCCCAGCAGATTTGCATGTTGTATTCAGTGACATTATTCAAGGAGCAGGACATGTTGATGACATTTTCCCTTACTATTTGAGACATGCTCGTCAAATGTTTCCCCACTTAGAATGTATGGACGATTTGAAGAAAATTAGTGATCTTCGCTCTCCAGCTAATTGGTATGAGACAATAGGCTAAGCTTAAAATTTAGTTTTGTATTTACAGGGGTTATCTAGTGATCAACAACAAGTGGTTAACAACCCTTATAGGTAAGTGGTACAGGAGTAACTAGATGATATTTTATGGAGGAAAATCACATCAGTAGCAATAACTTTTGAAACTTAATTTTTACAGCAATGGGTACCATTTTGTTAAGAATTAAAAGGGTTAAACAAAAATTATAAAAAAAACCTGGAGTTACCACAAATTGAATTTCATTAAATTGGACCACAGGTGTCATCTATAGCGCTCTACACATCCAGAAACAAAACACAAACAGACAGTCATCACTTCAATAATTAATTTTTTGTTTTCAGGGGTGGACAAAACGGGTATCCACCCAAAACTCAAAAATGTTGACAATTAATTAAATACTCAAAATTTGGCTGATAATCTGGGTAAAAATAGACTCCCAATTAAACTGGAAATTTTAATTAGAAAACATTTACATTTGTGTGTAAAATTAGACCTAACCTCTACTGTGATTAAAACTTTACATTCCTTACAAAGCTTTACTTTGATGTGCAAAATTACAATATATTCACAAAAGCAAAAATTAAAAACAAAACTCTTTTTGAAGTAACAAAATAAATAAGTCAATTCTATACTTTAATAACTAACTGTGTACAAAAACAAAGTGCATGGTACTAGATCTATTTATACAATATTCTAGTGATGTCATTGTTGACGAAACAACTGAAATAATAGCCTAGATCACATCAAAATAATCCAACAAAGTTTTAGCAATGTTATAGCGAATTTCCCTATAGGTAAGGAGCTATTACCGTAGGTGGCACAGCAAGACCTGGACACAGGACCGATATAATTTTTAATTTTGATGTCCCTAGAAGCCATAAACACCATTCGTTTAAATTTTTATATACTGTATGTATATATCCGTGAAAGCGATAAATTGAGTAATTTTTGTCCGATTTTGATGAAATTTGATATGATTTGATTTTGAAGATATAATGCGGGGTAAACTTGAATGAGTTTACAAACCAGCATGATCAGACCATGGGAACGGGGCTTTATGGGGGGTTTTATGGGGTAAAACTGGTTTAAAGGCCTATCTAATTTTTTGCCCTGAAAACACAAAATTTCCCAATTTTTACTTTCTCCCCCTATACCATAGTATATGGAGAAAGTATTGTTTTCGTCAAAATTTTCGAGTTTGAGTTTTGAGTGGATATATTCGTTTTGGGTCCCCCTGGACCCAAAAAAGTGGTTTTCGAAGTGATGTCTGTGTGTGTGTGTGTGTGTGTGTGTGTGTGTGTGTGTCTGTGTGTCTGTGTGTCTGTGTGTCTGGATGTGTACAGAGCTAGAGACTACACCTGTGGTCCGATTTCGATGAAATTTGGTATGTAGGTTCTAATCCATGGTATCTCCAGGCGTTTTTTTAATTTTTTTGAAATTTTTATTTTTAATGGGGATTTTCCCATAAAAACCAATAAAAAACCGGAAAAATCGGATTTTCTCAAAAATGGCCCGAACGATTTTGATAAAAATTTAGTATGTTGTAGCCCTTTAAATTCTGAACAAAATGGTACAAATCCCATTTCTGTAAAAATTACGGTTCAAAAGTTATGGTAAATTATGTTATTTTCCCATAAAAATCCCATAAAATAACGAAAAATAGGATTTTAGACAAAAAAAATCCGTTTTTATTTAACATAGTATGTTATGATCCTTAAAATTTTGATAGTTTTTCTCATTTCTTTGAAATTTTTATTTTTAATGGGTATTTTCCCATAAAACCCCATAAAATGACGGAAAAAAAAGATTTTCCCAAAAATGGCCTCAACGATTTCGATAAAAATTTAGTATGTTATAGTCCTTTATATTCTGAACAAAATGGTACAAATCCCATCTCTGTAAAAAGTACGGTTCAAAAGTTATTGTAAATTATGTTATTTCCCCATAAAAACCCCATAAAATAACGGAAAATCATATATTCCCAATATTGGCTCGAACGATTTTGATAAAAATTTAGTATGTTATAGTCCTTTAAATTCTGAAGGAAATCTTACAAATCCCATTTCCGTATATTTACTCTCACCGCTTACACATGATAAAGGTTTTTGACAAACTTATGGGAGAAAGTATGTGTCAGAATGCTGATACCGTTTATTTTTAAACCATTTTAAAGAGCTAAAAAAAAAACAAATAATTTAGTAGGCCTATATGGAATTGTTTTTGTGCGGTTATCGGTTACTGTAAATATAAAGTGAGGCTAAATGTAAAGTTCATCTATTTTATTCTTATGGAGAATAATTAAACTGTTGTACTTTGCTTATTTCTGGATACATGTTGATCAAGCAAGACCGGCCAATTTCTTTATTTTATACTAAGCTATTATTATTTTACTAAAAAACACACTTTATTATCCCCATCCCCCCTGTAGTAGCAAACCTAGGTACTCGTTAAACCTAATGCTATTAAAATAGATTTAAGCTAGAGTCAAATAAGGTATATGGAAATTCGCTTAGTCTGTAGGTTTGCTGCTACGGGGGTATATCCCTCCGAGTGTCCATAGTTTAGGCCTTAATGTCCACCTATTTTTGGCGCATTTGCAAGGTTTTATTAAAACGGATCTGAGAAGCTTAAAACAATGTTAATTCTGTTCTATATACCATTTTGTTTGGAAAATCATGGGCTTCAATATTATACATAAAACATAAGGAACATTTGTTTCAAAAAGTTTTTTTTAGTTAAAAAAAAATATTTTGAAAAATTTTCAAAAAAAAATATGTTCGCGCTCAATGAAATTGTATAGATTATAGGCCTATAAATATTTGAAAATAGCCACTTTGTTCTAAATTTTATGAGGATTACAAATATATAATAATATAAGGAAGTCGATTTGCAAATAAATAAGTTATGGGCAAAAAACAGATTTCAGTACATAGCGTTTAGCTAAGAATGCATAGCCTAACCATAGCTAGGAATCTGGCTGATAATTTACATCAATATCACTACCTACTTCTTCAGGATCATCAACCAGCCCTTCAAAATCACTTAAATCTATATATATAATCTTCTTATAATGCACCATGTATATCACTACTTTTGATTTTTAACACTAAAACAATGATAAACGTAATAAAACACATCAGTCATCGGTCCGAGGGTAACCTAGCTGTTTACAAATACGCACGTCAGCTGTCTGCTACAATTACGATCGGCTCGGAGAACATAAAGCGCTTAGAGACAGACCTCTGGAGAAAGCGTAGAATCTAACGAAAAGAACTATACCTAACTCGATCCAGTTCAATCCGATTCAGTCAGTCATAGAGCCTTCGCCGTAAACGATGTTCGTGCGTCGAAAAATCGACGCGTGACACTACACAAAGTGTGTCGCGCGTCGATTTTTCGACAAGTGACGCTCGGAGGGTTAAATTTTAATTTTTTATTTTGATGAAATATGCAATAGGTTTGATCAAAATCTGTTATAAATTTTGTTACTATTTTTGTGTGGGCTGTTCTTCAAGTGTTGCTCTGCTTTTTTTTAAAGAAGAGTGTAATCCCCCACTATAATGTGAGCTATTATCCATGCCATTTTCTTGCAATAGCCTACCTTTCTTTTAGACATGTATTTTAAAATATACAATTAATGGACATAGAAAACGGTAAACTACTGATTAAATGTAAATATTGAGACATAAAATAGACGATTACTTAAAGCGTATTATTTAATGCAACTCGGAACATAAACAAGTACCTAATTATTGATTTTAAAACAATGTTGTAATAGGATGTTATTGGTCCGGAAAATATAACCTGCTAACCGGATGAGTCCGGTAAACATATTTTGGAAAAGTGAAGTACCTCCTGTATTTTTGCCATTAGACATACTACCCTTAACTATCCTAAGAATAGAAAAACTTTCAAAATCAGTTATGCTCTCACTAATTTGAGAACTAAACAATCACTACGGTACTCATAACTTCTCTGATTGAGGTTTATGTTTTGTTTGTAACCACTTAAGTTACTACCCGTAAAATATTAGAGTTAGATTCCTTAACTATATCACTTATATCATCTTAACGATTAGGCCTAAGTATAGTGTGAAAAAATAAATGTTATGAGCGAATGAGCGAGGAAAATTTTACATAAACATTGGTTAGTAAGTGCAGTAACCTTCATGTGAACAAGTGCTTTATTATTACATTATCAGATACTGTTTTGTATTTTAGATTAAGAATTTTGACGCTGTTCATTTGATATGATTTTTTAATTTTATCAGACCTACATTATTACTTTTATAACTAGAAATAGGCTAATTATGATCAGCTGGTGTTCAGTAAATTTCATTACCGTACAGTAGTACATAATGAAATCTCATTTGATTAAGCAGGCTGCAAACAGCTGTTTTCCGGACTATATCCTGGTGTTGAAAGTCCATTAAAATAGAGTAGTGTGGTAAAAAAAAAACATAATTACAACTAAACAAACCTCTTAGGTACCCGAATGCAAGATCAATAAATAGAAGAATAATCTTCCATGCAGGACCAACAAATAGTGGGAAAACATATCATGCCTTAGAAAGATATATTTCAGCAAAATCAGGAGTCTACTGTGGTCCATTGAAACTCCTTGCAACTGAAGTTTTCAAGAAAGCTAATGACAGGGTAAGCATGCTTGTCTTCTGTTGTTGCACAAAATAAGTTAAGTAGGCTAGTTAAATAATAAAAGGTAGCTTAAATTATTAGACATTCATGGTTTCTCAAACAATGGAATGACTTATAACAATTGTATAGATCAAGAGTAATCTACTAAATAATCAAACAATAAATATATGTAATTTTAACTTCATTTTTCACTCATATTTCAGTTAAAATACGCCTAGTTGCAATTTATATTATTAAAACAGCTGAGATTTCTGAATTTAAAATTATAAATGTAATCACGGTGTTTTTTTGCAAGTTTTAAGACTTAGCAAATCTAGGCCTACTTGCGTAGACGCGTGTTTTTATGTATAAAATGATGTGGGCTCAGTCTTTTTATCGGGGAAAAAACTTTCCTTGTTGCTTATTAAATATATAGATTTATTCAAACTATCAATCAGCTGTAACACATAGAAAAACTTCCCCTCAAACTGCCTGAATTTTGTGAACGGACTTAAAGAGCATAAGTAAGATAGATAAGTTACTTTCAGGGAACACCATGTGATCTTATAACGGGAGAGGAGCGGAAGTATGTCTCTGGTGAAGACAGCCCTGCTGCTCATGTGTCATGCACTGTAGAGATGACCTCAGTCAACACACCTTGTAGGTTTACAATACCAGTACCTGTTAACATAGACAAATAGAATAAATATAGACCGTCAGCTGTGCTGCGGTTAGCATAAGTTCTGGCGTTCACCACTAGGTTTGCCGTGTGGTTACGGCGCACACCGCTGCAGCGTCTGCTGGTCACATACGGCTCCTGAGCACCTCGCTTGCAGCGGTGTGTGCCGTAACTACATGGCAAACCTAGCGGTGGGCGCCGGAACCTTCCTTTGATAGTCTATATTTATTCTATTTGTCTATGCTGTTACTAAAGCATTTAGAAATAAGTTTAGAATTCAAACATGTTTGCAATGTTAAAAAAGACAATTTTGAAAGATTTATCACTGTTAATTCTTGTTGCAAGCTGAACATCTTCAGTCTGAAGCACAGACAGACACTTAAGCTGCAAGATGGTCAAGTGTGTGCAAAATTCATTCAAAAACTAATATAAAAAGATACATGTATGATTGTTTTTTTTAATTCCTACTAAAACCATTGATTAAGTATCTTTCTAAAATTGTAGTGTAGGATTTTACAAAGAATTAGTTCGCAGTCTGAGTTTGCAAAAGAAAAGATTTGTGTTAAGTAAATGCCAAAAAAGTTCATGTGAGTATGGAACCAGTTGAAATGTGGAGTTGGATGACAGGAAACTTTTTGTTGATTCATTTGACTTTGAAGGTCATGTTATAATTCTTACCACATCTTATTTACTGTTCAGTTTTAAGAATTTCAAAATCTTGTCTAAAATAATGTGATTGAACAGAATATGTTGTCTAGACGAAGTAGCAGTAATTGACGAAATCCAGATGATGAGGGATCCAGGGCGAGGTTGGGCATGGACCAGGGCACTACTAGGAGTAATGGCTGAGGAGATCCATGTGTGTGGGGAGGAAGGAGCAGTAGACCTGGTCAAAGCATTAGCTGTCACCACGGGTGAAGATGTTGAGGTAGGTACAACAACTATGCTTCAGTAGAGATCCAGGATAAGGTTGTGCATAGACCAGGACGCTACTTGAAGTAATGGCTGAGGAGATCCATGTGTGTGGGGAGGAAGGAGCAGTAGACCTGGTCAAAGCATTAGCTGTCACCACGGGTGAAGATGTTGAGGTAGGTACAACAACTATGCTTCAGTAGAGATCCAGGATAAGGTTGTGCATAGACCAGGACGCTACTTGAAGTAATGGCTGAGGAGATCCATGTGTGTGGTGAGGAAGGAACAGTAGACCTGGTCAAAACATTAGCTGTCACCACGGGTGAAGATGTTGAGGTAGGTACAAAAACTATGCTTCAGTAGAGATCCAGGATAAGGTTGTGCATAGACCAGGACACTACTGGGAGTAATGGCTGAGGAGATCCATGTGTGTGGTGAGAAAGGAGAAGTAGACCTGGTCAAAGCATTAGCAGTCACCAGGGGTGAAGATGTTGTGGTAGGTACAACAACTATTCTTCAGGTGATGAGAGATCCAGGATAAGGTTGTGCATAGAACAGGACGCTACTAGGAGTAATGGCTCAGGAGATCCATATATATGGTGAGAAAGGAGCACTAGACCTGGTCAAAGGATTAGCTGTCACCACGGGTGAAGATGTTGAGGTAGGTACAACAACTAAGCTTCAGATGATGAGAGATCCAGGATAAGGTTGTGCATAGACCAGGACACTACTGGGAGTAATGGCTGAGGAGATCCATGTGTGTGGGGAGGAAGGAGCATTAGACCTGGTCAAAGCATTAGCTGTCACCACGGGTGAAGATGTTGAGGTAGGTACAACAACTAAGCTTCAGATGATGAGAGATCCAGGATAAGGTTGTGCATAGAACCGGACGCTACTGGGAGTAATGACTGAGGAGATCCACATGTGTGGGGAGGAAGGAGCATTAGACCTGGTCAAAGCATTAGCTGTCACCACGGATAAAGATGTTGAGGTAGGTACAACAACTAAGCTTCAGATGATGAGAGATCCAGGATAAGGTTGTGCATAGACCAGGACACTACTGGGAGTAATGGCTGAGGAGATCCATGTGTGTGGGGAGGAAGGAGGAGTAGACCTGGTCAAAGCATTAGCTGTCACCACGGGTGAAGATGTTGAGGTAGGTACAACAACTAAGCTTCAGATGATGAGAGATCCAGGATAAGGTTGTGCATAGAACCGGACGCTACTGGGAGTAATGACTGAGGAGATCCACATGTGTGGGGAGGAAGGAGCATTAGACCTGGTCAAAGCATTAGCTGTCACCACGGATAAAGATGTTGAGGTAGGTACAACAACTAAGCTTCAGATGATGAGAGATCCAGGATAAGGTTGTGCATAGACCAGGACACTACTGGGAGTAATGGCTGAGGAGATCCACATGTGTGGGGAGGAAGGAGCATTAGACCTGGTCAAAGGATTAGCTGTCACCACGGGTGAAGATGTTGAGGTAGGTACAACAACTAAGCTTCAGATGATGAGAGATCCAGGATAAGGTTGTGCATAGACCAGGACACTACTGGGAGTAATGGCTGAGGAGATCCATGTGTGTGGGGAGGAAGGAGCAGTAGACCTGGTCAAAGCATTAGCTGTCACCACGGGTGAAGATGTTGAGGTAGGTACAACAACTAAGCTTCAGATGATGAGAGATCCAGGATAAGGTTGTGCATAGACCAGGACACTACTGGGAGTAATGGCTGAGGAGATCCATGTGTGTGGGGAGGAAGGAGCAGTAGACCTGGTCAAAGCATTAGCTGTCACCACGGGTGAAGATGTTGAGGTAGGTACAACAACTAAGCTTCAGATGATGAGAGATCCAGGATAAGGTTGTGCATAGAACCGGACGCTACTGGGAGTAATGGCTGAGGAGATCCATGTGTGTGGGGAGGAAGGAGCAGTAGACCTGGTCAAAGCATTAGCTGTCACCACGGATAAAGATGTTGAGGTAGGTACAACAACTAAGCTTCAGATGATGAGAGATCCAGGATAAGGTTGTGCATAGACCAGGACACTACTGGGAGTAATGGCTGAGGAGATCCATGTGTGTGGGGAGGAAGGAGCAGTAGACCTGGTCAAAGCATTAGCTGTCACCACGGATAAAGATGTTGAGGTAGGTACAACAACTAAGCTTCAGATGATGAGAGATCCAGGATAAGGTTGTGCATAGAACCGGACACTACTGGGAGTAATGGCTGAGGAGATCCATGTGTGTGGGGAGGAAGGAGCACTAGACCTGGTCAAAGCATTAGCTGTCACCACGGATAAAGATGTTGAGGTAGGTACAACAACTAAGCTTCAGATGATGAGAGATCCAGGATAAGGTTGTGCATAGACCAGGACACTACTGGGAGTAATGGCTGAGGAGATCCATGTGTGTGGGGAGGAAGGAGCAGTAGACCTGGTCAAAGCATTAGCTGTCACCACGGGTGAAGATGTTGAGGTAGGTACAACAACTAAGCTTCAGATGATGAGAGATCCAGGATAAGGTTGTGCATAGAACCGGACGCTACTGGGAGTAATGACTGAGGAGATCCACATGTGTGGGGAGGAAGGAGCATTAGACCTGGTCAAAGCATTAGCTGTCACCACGGATAAAGATGTTGAGGTAGGTACAACAACTAAGCTTCAGATGATGAGAGATCCAGGATAAGGTTGTGCATAGACCAGGACACTACTGGGAGTAATGGCTGAGGAGATCCACATGTGTGGGGAGGAAGGAGCATTAGACCTGGTCAAAGGATTAGCTGTCACCACGGGTGAAGATGTTGAGGTAGGTACAACAACTATGCTTCAGATGATGAGAGATCCAGGATAAGGTTGTGCATAGAACCGGACACTACTGGGAGTAATGGCTGAGGAGATCCACATGTGTGGGGAGGAAGGAGCATTAGACCTGGTCAAAGGATTAGCTGTCACCACGGGTGAAGATGTTGAGGTAGGTACAACAACTAAGCTTCAGATGATGAGAGATCCAGGATAAGGTTGTGCATAGAACCGGACGCTACTGGGAGTAATGACTGAGGAGATCCACATGTGTGGGGAGGAAGGAGCATTAGACCTGGTCAAAGCATTAGCTGTCACCACGGATAAAGATGTTGAGGTAGGTACAACAACTAAGCTTCAGATGATGAGAGATCCAGGATAAGGTTGTGCATAGACCAGGACACTACTGGGAGTAATGGCTGAGGAGATCCATGTGTGTGGGGAGGAAGGAGCAGTAGACCTGGTCAAAGCATTAGCTGTCACCACGGGTGAAGATGTTGAGGTAGGTACAACAACTATGCTTCAGATGATGAGAGATCCAGGATAAGGTTGTGCATAGACCAGGACACTACTGGGAGTAATGGCTGAGGAGATCCATGTGTGTGGGGAGGAAGGAGCAGTAGACCTGGTCAAAGCATTAGCTGTCACCACGGGTGAAGATATTGAGGTAGGTACAACAACTATGCTTCAGTAGAGATCCAGGATAAGGTTGTGCATAGACCAGGACGCTACTTGAAGTAATGGCTGAGGAGATCCATGTGTGTGGGGAGGAAGGAGCAGTAGACCTGGTCAAAGCATTAGCTGTCACCACGGGTGAAGATGTTGAGGTAGGTACAACAACTATGCTTCAGATGATGAGAGATCCAGGATAAGGTTGTGCATAGACCAGGACACTACTGGGAGTAATGGCTGAGGAGATCCACATGTGTGGGGAGGAAGGAGCATTAGAAATGGTCAAAGCATTAGCTGTCACCACGGATAAAGATGTTGAGGTAGGTACAACAACTAAGCTTCAGATGATGAGAGATCCAGGATAAGGTTGTGCATAGACCAGGACACTACTGGGAGTAATGGCTGAGGAGATCCACATGTGTGGGGAGGAAGGAGCACTAGACCTGTGAGCCGTGACTATTTCCACCGGGCGAATGTCACGACTCATGATCAATGGTTCAAGTGTTTTTTTTATAGTAGGCTAGTTCAGTGTTTCTCACTCCACGGCCCCCCGAACAAGGCTGTGGGTTTTGTTCTTTTTACTCCCACCGCCAAGCACTTCAGAGGTTGCGTGACAATCAACTAGTTAACCTCGCAGACATTTTTCATCGTTTTAAATCGCCCTTTTGGCACATGATTTATACAAGGTTGTGTAAGTTTTTTACTTTGTGCTTAGTCTGCGAGGTTATGGAGTAAGTCAAGTGCGCCACGCGCGCCTTTTGGGGCCCGTGAGGAGGAACATGGAGTACCGGTAGTCTGCATCAGCCTTGGCGGAGTGGGAATTACAACTCTTGGCCACCCCTGGATCTTGGCCCCCCTCTTCCGTCATGCCTGCTTCCCCTCCGGTGCTGCTCGCCCAGAAACATGAACTAGTACCGCAAATTCCGCAAGTTTTAGGCCTAATTAATTATTGCTAACCACCGTCCTGGACTTGGAGATTTCGTTACCTATTTGTTAATTTGTGCACAGAGATTTATTAATTGTTTTTCTTTTTAAATTTTAAATTCTTTAGCCTAGGCTACTTGTTGATCTTTTTTAAATTTTATAATTTTATTAAATATTCTATTGAATTCTAATTTGGGGCCCCTAAAGTTTCTATAGTTACCAGATGAAATGAATTTATTAAAAGAGTCATTATATATATCATGTTGTAATTTGTTAATTTAAAAGTTTTTTGAAAGGTAAAAGCTAGTAAGATTTATTTTGAAATTTAGCCTATTTGAAAATGATTAATGAAATAAATGTAAGTTAGTAGGGTAAACGGGTATCAAAATTTTTAAAGTTTAATTGAGAGTATTTAATTCATGTATTATTGTTAATTATTGTTGTTGATGTTATTGTTGTGTTATTTTTTTAAATGGTTAATTACAGCTCGTTTCTCTCAAATGGCGTGTTGTTCTTGAGCCTCCATCCATGGTTCTCATTTTGTTAAGTAAAGTTTTGTGAGCCGCTCCTCGGGCCTGCGCATGGATCACGCTTCCTTTTCGTTAGTCTGGGTGCAGGCGC